ATTAATATGAACTTTAAATAAAATGAATTCTGGAAACTGCTTCTGGTAGTCTTGTGTACACAGGTTTTTCGATCCATAAAATGAAATTGTTCTGTTTTCTGTAGGAACTATAAGGAACCCACTAGAAGTGTTGGTGATATTAGGCTCTAAGAAAGTTGCTGACCCATCACTAGCAACAGTTACTGTACTGGATGTGCAGAATCTGTCTGCCATGGCACATGGTTATTCCAAAACGAAATAGGAATTTCATCTTATGTATTTAGAGGCGAATCCTAAAGATTGCTGAAAGTCCTAAAGCAATATATACTTTCAGAACGCCCTGTAAGGATATCATGATGGTACTAACAGACTTTGAGAAGTTTTTTTCTAAATAAATAAAAACTTCGTCCATTTAAGCAAAATAGCCATTTTAAGGCATGACACCGAATATAAAGATAAACTGTGTCCATGTATATACCTATAAATACACATTTATCTTTTTGTTATCATTTAGATTTAATTGAGTATTTAAATTACTAGATAATGCAAGGCGGACATACAATTAAAAAACATGTACAACTTACCTTGAAAATTCGGGATTAGGAAGTGCAACCCCCAAGAAATTAGCAAATATAACAAACAACCAAACACTACCTACACCAGAGATAACCGATACACTTACATCAATCGGCGTCACCAGAAATACCGATTAATCAGTTGATCACATTGCAGGTTGCCGATGTGTGGTGTGGCAGGGGATGCCCTAGCGCGTTTGTCTGAATTAAATTAAATATAGGCGGCATTGAAAAAATGGAAATGATAATTGGGCAAATAACAAGTATTTTTCAAGACAGTGAAAGCATTGGTATTAACTGTAAGACAGTAAAAACTTACTTTACCTTAGTTTCCATTGGAATAAAAATCATAAACATTAAAAGAGACAAAGACTATATTTATTTCATTTGTTTTTAATTTTTGGTTAAAGCATTATAACTTTTAATATAAATCAATTTTATATTTAATATTGTTAATTTTACCTTTATCAGATAAACTTTGAATTCAATAATTTCTAAAATTTTCAAGGAACTACACATTTCAATTAGGTTTAAATGTAAAGAGCTCTATAACAAGTAATTTTAACTTGATAATATTTTGTTATGGGCTGAATATAATATTTGTAATAATATCAATCCCTTACCCTCAATTGCTCCAAACATATTTGATTGAATAAACTTTAACTTTTATTAAAGAAATGAAATAACAATCAATTGTTATTGACTATATCAAAGCGTTTTTTCTGTGCATGTTCACATATGAGATTTGCCATATGAATTATACAATTGTCCTGTTGAAGATTGAATCCACCTTTGACATTGTTGGAAAAACGTAAAACATTTTCTTGCAAGATGTAACGATGTACGAGGTGTGTTCAGAAAATATCGGGAATTTTCGTTTTTTGAAACAAATATTTATTTATTCGTCTATATTAATGTTGTCGCCTTCAAAATAGTCCCCATTGGAATTATGCACATGTGCCAGCTCTTCTTCCAATACTCGAAATACTTCTAAAACTCGATCTTTGGGATAGCCTTAAGTTCTTTCAGCGGTGCGCTTTTAATGTCATCTATGCTTGCAAAACGACGGCCCTTTAAGGTTCTCTTTATTTTTGGGAATAGGAAAAAGTCAGACAGAGGCATGTCTGGCGAATATGGAGGCTGGGGCATCATTACAGTATTGTTTTTGGCCAAAAATTTTGTTCAAAATTTAACAATTTTAGAACAAATTTTGCTGCCACGCGTTTCATACCCAAAACATTCGAAAAAATTTCAAGGGATGAACCAATCGATATACCAACATCATCAGCGATTACCATTTCTTCCACTTTTTCCATGTTTTTATCGGTTGGTAATGCGCTTGTGCGTTCGTCATCTTCAACGTCTTCACGGCCATCTTGGAAACTCTTATACCACTTGTAAACTCTTGTTTTACTTATAGCAGACTCACTATAGGCCTTTGTTAACATTTCACGAAATTTATTTCATTTTTTAAGCAAAATTGGATACAAATTCTTTGATCCATTTCTAACCTTAGCGGCTGCCACAGAAAAAGTAAACAATGAAAACAGCAACAAGTTTTTATCATACTTCAGGGGCATATATACCTACATAATAAAGAAAATTCCACACCTGTAATTTTTAACCAATCAAAACGTGTATTTTTGATAGATCACCATGGCAACGGTTGAATTTTAGTGGAAATTTTTTCCTCGTGGGTACCCAACAGCGAATTATACTGGAAATTTTTTGACGTTTATAATGACAGAATATTTTTTTGACAATCTGGTTTTTATTTGTTTACATGATAATTTTGATACATTTCCATTACAAAGTTTATTAGATGTTTTCTATATTCGTTGGACACCTCCTTTCTTCTTAAAATATATATAATATTAGGCACTATTCTATTCACCTTTTTTTCCATTTAGCACTTTGAGTTTTGAATAGTTAAGATGCAAATATTCGTGAACAATTCAAAACAAATTTTCTTTCTTCAAGTAGGAGCCACAATCCTCTAATAATGCGGGTAAATAAGTCATTGCACGATGATTGATCATTACAGCAGACAATTTCACATTTTTTTTACGTCGTGCCGCTTGACAGCTTTAAAACTGAAATAACTTTTAGGTTGGGGTTGACTTAGTTGCCATGGTAACTAAATAATCAAGTCGAGGTCAAGTTAAATCAAAAAATAAATTTTAATTATTTAAACACAATTTGGTGTGGAATTTTCTTACCGAATACCACACGAGGTCAAATTAAATCCGGAAATTTTTTCTCCCTCATGAATATTTTTAGAAAATTATCCCTCGTCTTCGACTCGGGATAATTTTCAAAATATTCATGAGCTCGAAAAAATTTCCGGAAATAATTTGACCTCTAGTGGTATTACTAGTGAAAATTTTATGACAACCGGACCCTCCGAACCCGCGAAATTTAATAATTCCCTTTATTTTCTGAACACACCTCGTACCTGTCATCCTGACGCACAGTGGGAGGAATTTCAAAAATCGCGGACAAAATTAGGGACACATTATTTTAAGCCATTTTAAGGTTTATGCGGTGGTAAATTTATGCTAAAATATTAATATTAATAAAATGTTTTAATTATGTACACAAATTCACAAATTTGTTTTAAACAATTTGGAAAAGTTCGGTATTGTCGATCCTCCATTTTCCAAAAACATAAATTAATAAACAAATATATTACGCAATATTACCTAAGCTAAAAATAGAAAAATAAACAAAAAAAACAATAACAATTAAGGAATATTCGAGCTAAATCACTTATATACATTTTTTTCGATACATCTTTTCTTTGTAAATTTCGCATCTTTTGCTTTATTTATATCGACTACTAGAGTGACTTGGTCCAAAAAACCCTATATCGATGTTAAAATAACATTTAAAAGTTGACTTTAAAGCAAAACCGGTTAAATCTACGTTTTTTACCTACTCTCTAAAAATGAATTAGTCAAAAATGACTAATTTAATAGTTATTATTGGCTGCTTTTTTACTTGTACCATAGTTAACCATGGAATATAATAGTATCCCAAAATTTAACATCCAATTCTTATGTAAAATTGTCCCCTGAATCCGAAAATGCCATAAAAAATTATGAAAGTGGAGCAGTTTTTGAAATATAGTCAATTCCATATTAAATGAAAAATTGACTATATCTCAAAAACTGTTTTACTTTTTTAACTTTTGACGATATTTTCGGATTCAGGGGACAATATAAAATTTATCAATAATATCCAGGTTATCGGTTAGATACTTTAAAAGTTTGTTGTGTTTTTCTTTGTTACTAACATTTTTAATAAGTTTATACAACTCCTTATTAGTCGTTGATGACATTTCTACATAAAAAGAAGCAAGTTATTCAAATAAACATGTAATATTTATATTAATATTAATATTATAACTTACCAAATATTATTATAAAGCGTTAATAAACACAAAAACACGATGAGATTGTATGTATGATTGACTTTTACTGGAAACTGACGTTTTAGAACTAGCAAAAGGCAACTATGATGACTTATAAATATTCGACTAATATGATAAATTCATGGACATATTTCATATTCTGCTGGCTAAACAGGCAAAAAAAGGCAGCTTAATTCTTTTGACTTTAAAAAAAGAAAATTTGATGAACGTTCTGGTACCAAATACTTTGCGTCACACCAAGGCACACCTAACGAAATATCTTGTGGTTTGTGAAAGATTTATCTACTTTTAAAGGCGATGGTAAAAGGTTTATAAAAACCGTATTTATGGTAAAATTTGCAATTTTAGACTTTTATATGAAAGAACAAGGATAAGGAATGCAGTAAAATATACCACCATTTCCTTTCATTAATTACGCAAAACAAAAATGGGCTTAAAAAACTTACATACAATTTGCTCTAAAAAACCGACACGAACAATGTGACTTTTTAAGCAAGTTTAAGCGGGCATTTTTTCATAAAAAAATGTATTTCTTTTAAAATCATAATCTATGTGCTTTCTTTTTTTATAACTCGTAATTTAAAATTTACTATGTTGATTTTTACAAAATAGGGTTTTGTCCGCGATTTTTGAAATTCCTCCCAGTGTGTGACGGGTTGTTTTTTGTTTACAGCCTTGCACAGCTTTTCTGGAGTAGCTACCAGTTGTTTGGTATCTATACCAAAGTCTGCAGATGACGAATTTTCTACGTAGCGCAAGCAATGGACTGCGCTAAAAGAACGAATTTTTCATCAGGGACACAGCACTATTAAAAAGTGACATTTTACTTGTACCAAAGGCTTCTGGGATGAATTTTTAAGCTTGCTAAATGGCCAAGAATACTTTGTTTTTAAAACAATTTTCAGTTATTTGCTTCTAATAAAGACAACCTTTAAAATATGTAGGATTGAATTTCAGTCTTCTGGTTGTTAAGTAATGTCCAACGAAAAACAAATCTATCAACCTTTAAATCTAGTTTTTAAAATTTGGCTTATATTGTGCAATCAAAAAGTATTAGTAACATGTTTTATTAAAATACAATACAAACTTAATTTTGTTTAATTTTAAGTTTTATATTGTTCAGACGTCTAAATAAACGTAACAAGACCTGAACAAATTTAAACAATCCAAACAAAATAACAAGCAAGAAAACTGCGATGAAAAACAAAACATCGAGTAGATAATATTGATACATTGGCAGTTTCCTTGTCTTGCCCCTGAGATGCAAAGCTCCCTTGTGTCTTATTACGTATTCCATCCACCACACTGCTTTGTCAACTCCAGTCATCGGCTGATCCTTAATTAGTTTACTGAGTTCATTTACTTTTTCTCGGTAGCTGAAAAAAAATATTCAAATTACCGGCATCTTTAAAACATGTCCAAGTATTTACTTACTGGGAGGTGTTTGCAACTTTCACGATAAGATCAGTAAGATTCTTTACACCCAAATGTTCCAGGTTTAACCTTTCTCCGATGCCCATTTGTACCATTCTACGAACGTTAGTTTCTTGGTCATACATTATGGGTATTCCCACTATGGGCACACCATAGTAAATGCCTTCTTCAGCTGACTGAAGACCACCTTGGGTAACAAATAATTTAACTTTTGGATGGGAAAGAATGTCTTGTTGAGGTAGCCATTTTTTAATCAGAAAATTTTCACTATTGTAAAGTGTATCATCATCCCACTTCCAGATTACATCATATGGTAAGTTGTTTATAACTTCTTTAATGATGTGGATCTTATTTTTAACTCGTTCTGTACAGAATTCATTTGTACCTAAACTAAAGTAGATAACACCACGTTTTGAGTTATCTATAAATGTGTTTATATCCTACAAATATACAATTAATAACGTTTTAATAACTGGTCCTTAAGACAGTACTTTTGGTAGTTTATCTGGACTCTTTATATGCGTCAAACTGATTTCAATCGCTGAAGGAACATTCGCTTTAATAGTGTTAACAATAGGATTACTGCTATAAATAGTTAAACTTAAATTCCTTTCAATATCTCCAAGAGATTCCAAATTATCACCAAACATGTCCTTGGCAATTGTATCAGAACTTGGTATGGCATAGTATTTATATATCACTCTCAAAGTAAAATTTAATATGGTGCTGATCAGTCTTGAAAAAAAAGGAAGGTCTTCGTTTAAATCTATGTCTTGGTGCAAGAAAAAGTGGGGATTTATTATGGGGTGAACTGGGTTACCCACTGCATCCTGGGCGTTTAGGAAGCCCTCAAAGGATGTTATACCTAAAATATTCCAACATAACAATTTTTTTGTTTGAGAAATAAATATTACCTATAACTGGGGCTTTATTAAGAAGAACGGGAGCAAACGCTAGAGGAGATATATTTTCTACAACTACCAAATCATAGTCTGTATCTGTGAAAACTTTTCTAACATGGTCTTTCTCCAGAACAGCTCTTGTAGTGTTGATAAGTATATCATAATAATAAAAAAGTCCGTAAACCATCGACGTCTTTTTCATCACGTCTTTCTGAAGCTGATTAAAAACATCCCCAATAAATTCGATGTCGACTTCTCTTATGTTGCTGGCGGATGTTTCGTTGCTTATTAATGGAGTAATAAGGGTGACGTTGTGTCCTTTTGATGCCAGCTCTTTGAAAATCGGATACAGGCAAATATGATGACTTACGAAAGGAAGTATTAGAAATCCCAATATGTTCGCTGCTTTTGAACACTCGATAAAAACAAGAAAACTAATTAGAGTTGAGAGTTTTTTGCACTTTGACATTTTATTTTGCGTGGTTAATACTGTTTGCTTTTTTAGTTAACTGCGAATGACGTTTTTATTGACGATTAAAAATTTATCAATACGTGTATTATGAATATTTATTTTGTTTATTGTTTTTTAGTTTTACAATGCTAATTTTTCTAACAAATATTATTATTTCACAGGGTGTAAACAAAATTATTTACTAATCCTGATTAAATTCACAAAAACAAAATGGTTATTATACTCAGTTGAGCAAGGCCTTTCAAATGAGGTATCACTTTTTTTTAGGGTTTGTGATCACTTCTGTTTCAATTTCGTTGGGCCACCCTGTATATTGAATCTTTAAGGTGTGGTTTTAAAATTTTGGTAAAGGGTATGTATTATGCATGTGGATAAAGCCAATATCAATAGTAATAGGTACATTTTTTTTTCTACAACACCCAATATTATAATAATAATATATTATCTCAAAAATATTCAAGACCATTTCATTACATTTTCGAACTTCATAGTGGTTATTTAGAAATTGGTATACGATATTACATAAAAACTTTTCCATCTGTAGTGTAATACAGGGTGTATCAGATTTCCTAGTACATCATGAATGTTTAACCATCCTAATAGATACAGTGTGTTTTAAAACAAATAGATACCCTTAAATAAAACAAGTGCCATACCCCGCCCACTGTGGTAGGGATTGAAGTTATTTTCGTTATTTTAGAATTATTTTTGTTTGAGAATTTATAGGTTTTATTTTTATCGAATTCGTTTGTTTTGTTTTAATGCATTTCTGCAAATTAAAACTAAGTATTGTTTAAAATCCTTAAAATTCCAGTTAATGGCGAAAATGTATTTCTTAAAAACTATACACATTTCCCTACGACAGCGTCGGAGCTACTGAACAAACAGTGGATCAAACTCAGTGTTACCAGATTCTGTCAAAAAAAGACCGTACGTTTCGTTCGAATTTACCTTAATTACAAAAATGACTCAATGGACAATATTAAATAACGTCAACTTGACATAATTGCATTTATTTGCATTGTTTCATTGTGTCATTTTGTAATTAAGGTAAATTCGAACGAAACGTACGGTCCTTTTTTGACAGAATCTGGTAACACTGATCAAACTGCATGCCCATCTGGTTGCATGCCGCGCTGTTGCCATATGCTATTATTGTTTCCTAAAAGGGTTGTTTTTCTTATTTTTTAATATTAAAAGTAAGAAAATTAACTAAATCAAATTATTTTTGACATATTATTAATTTTTTTGTTATTTTTAAAGTTTCAAACAAATAAAATTGAACTATTTATTAAATAATTATAATCGTTCTCTTCTGATTTAAAACAACCTGGCAACTATGGTTCGTAATTACGAATGGCTTGGTTTAAACCACACCCAATTAAAGTTTGTTTCTTTTTCTCTGATCAGAATATAATTTGTCATCCTTGTCTCCAGCCTTACTTACTTGATTCTATACAGTCTGTATAGTTAAAGTGGTTGAAATAAATGATTATAATAATTTTCTTTTTCTATTCCCACCTTTAAAACGCTCATTATCGTACATGTTTCCATGACACTCAATGACATTTTAAACAAACATTGACAAGTTGTGGCTTTATAGCGTTTTAGTCACGGGCTGAAAACAGGTCAGTGGCTGAAATTAGTTAGTTGACAGTTGTCAAATATACAATCGTTAAAATAAAGTACTTTTCTTGTAAAATAATACTAAATGTGAAAATTATTTTATTATCTCAATACAAATATACACAAGTATATATGTATATATATATATATATATATATATATATATAGTTTCTCAACGCCAATATTTAAAAAGTTTAAATGTACTGAACTTTTAATTTCGACGAATTTTGACATTTGACTGTAACACAGCTGTGACTTTATGGCGTTTTAGTCACAGGCTGAAGTTAACAACAGTGGCTTCTGGGCATTTTAGTTACGGGCTGGAGTTAGCTTTATAATAAATTGCGAAAAATTGAGGTTAAATTTGTCAAATGTCAAATATTTATAAATTAAAATTGGCTTTAAACTCTTATTTCTGCTCGTCGTAGATAAAGTATAGTGTGCAGCTCGTTCTAAAAACTTCTCTAGACTATTGTTTTCATTAAACACTCGCTCGCAAGGTTAGCTTGTGCCTAATAAAACTCGTAGGAACCTAACTAAAATGACATTTATAAAACTTGATACATAATATACTATTAAATTTTTGATGTTGGAGTACAATTCTCCAGATAATTTTAGGTAAAAAAAGGTGCTCTTGTTACAAAGTCATGGAGTCAGTTTTCGAGAAAAACAATATTAAATATGTCTCGCCAAAACAAAAAATATCAAGCGAATTAGTAGGCAATAGAAAAACATCGCAAATATGGTTATTTTGTCAGTGGTAACATTCGTCAACTCGTTTGTCATAACATAAATCAGAATAAACTGTAATTTTTAACAAAAATGTTAATAACATTTTCCAAGAAATGGCCGAGGGGTAAACCACTTAAAATCAGCGAGACCAACGTTTAACGTTATAACACAACGTCCACTTAATACGAGGTGTGTTCAGAAAATATCGGGAGTTTTCGTTTTCTGAAACAAATATTTATTTATTCGTCTACATTAATGTTGTCGCCTTCAAAATAGTCCCCATTGAATATTATGCACATGTGCCAGCTCTTCTTCCAATACTCGAAACACTTCTAAAACTCGATCTTTGGGATACCCTTTAGTTCTTTCAGCGATGCGCTTTTAATGTCATCTATGCTTGCAAAAAGACGGCCCTTTAAGGTTCTTTTTATGTTTGGAAATAGGAAAAAGTCAGACAGAGGTATGTCTGGCGAATATCATCATTACAGTACTGTTTTTGGCCAAAAATTTTGTTCAAAATTTAACAATTTTGGTACAAATTTTGCTGCCACGCGTTTCATACCCAAAACATTCAAAAAAATTTCATGGGATGAGCCAACCGATATACCAACATCATCAGCGACTTCTCTGATGGTTTATAACCATTTCTTCCACCTTTTCCATGTTTTTATCGGTTGTTAATGTGCTTGTGCGTTCGGGGCGTTCGTCGTCGTTCAACGTCTTCACGGCCATCTTGGAAACTCTTATACCACTTGTAAACTCTTGTTTTACTTATAGCAGACTCACTATAGGCCTTTGTTAACATTTCACAGAATTTATTTTTGCTTTTAAGCAAAATTGGATACAAATTCTTTGATCCATTTCTTTCGAACGAACGAAAATCGCCGAGCTCATAAAACACCTTAGCAGCTGCCACAGACAAAGTAAACAATGAAAACAGCTAAAGATTTTATCATACTTCGGGGGCATGTATACCAACATAATAAAGAAAATCTTATGACAAGCGGACCCTTCGAACCCGCGAAATTTAACAATTCCCGTTATTTTCTAAACACACCTCGTATGTGGCGACACTTTGCGCATGACTACCCTTGGGATTGTTAAAACTGGCACTTTTAAAGTAAACAAAGGTGATTGCGAGAGAAATTGAACAAATCGGAACAGTGTTAAACGAAAAAACGGTCCTGGAAGTAGTTGCCTCTAATCCTGGGACAAGCACTAGAAGAATTGCTATGCAAGAGGACGTTCCAAAAAGTACAGTTTGGGAAATAATGTACGAACTGCTATATCTCTATTATTTACAGAGTACAAGGTTTAAATCCTCAAAATGTTTTACGTAGATGTCGCTGGTTAAGAACAAAATGGCATGAAGAACTTTATTGAAATCCGCATGATTCTATTCAATCAAAGTAACAGCAAAGATTTTCTTTCAACGTTTGGGCAAGAATAATTGGCCATTTCTTTATAGGTCCTCACGTCGACTGAACGGTAAAACAAACTTGTATTTTCTCGAAAACTTTGTCATAAACCTCCTTGATGACTTGCCCTACCCTTTGTCGATGTTTTTTTATGCATGATGGCGCCCCACCACATTTGGCCTCCTCGTTCTCCCAATTTTAATACACTCGACATTTGTGTGTGGGGTAAAATTATCTGGAAAAAGCATTTTACATTGTTGTAAAATTTTATTTGATTTTAAATAAAGAGACTAATTTGTACACAAATTTATTCGAAAGATAAAAAATCAATAATACAAAATATTACTCATATTAGCATTTTTAACGAAAACTTAAGTTGCTCTATTGCTCCTTAAGTTTATCTCTTTTACACATATTCTTCCTTATAAACCTAAATATTGTAAAGGAAATCATAAACAAGCAAATCGCAGCTACTAAAATAAATCCCATCACATCGAGAAGGTAGTATTGGTAAAAAGGCATATCAATAAAACCCGATTTTATATGCTCAGTCCCTTTGTGTCTCAAAACGTATTCAATCCACCATACGGCTGTCTCTAATCCTGACATGGGATGATCCCTCAATATTTTACTCATTTTTATCGCGTTCTGTCTAAACCTAAAATAAATAAACTATTGATTTTATAGAGTCAATATATGCAAATCATACTTTTTATTCGTTGCCACCTCCACAATAGTTTTTGTTAATGTTTCTCTGGAAACAGTCTGAATATCTAGTTTTAACCCTAGCTCTTTATCCTCCAAATTTATGGCATTTTGTATTTGATCCCCCATGATTGGTAATGTTAAAATAGGCACTCCATTATAGACAGCTTCCTCCAAAGATTGTCTACCACCTTGGCAAATAAAAACTTTTACGTTGGGGTGAGCCAAAACGTCTTGTTGTGGTAGCCAATCCCTGACCATGAAGTTTTTTGGCACTACCATTGGTTCGCTGTGTTTAAATAGTACGTCGTAAGGTAGGGATGAAAGAGATTCTATTATCATGGGCATTTTGTGCTTGGTTAGGTAGTAAGATAGTGCGGTGGTACCAAAGCTGAAATATACTACACCGTTTTTAGATGAGTCCATAAAATCTTTTATGTCCTAAAATTGTATGTCATTATTATTATTATGATTGTAGGTAAAAATACCTTAGGTAATTTTTTGGGAGGGTTAATATGTGCAGAACTAATATCTACAGCCGCAGGTACGCTTGGCCTTATTTCATCAAAAACAAAATTCCTATTGAACAAACCCAAAGATATATTTTTTTCTACTTCAGTTAGCGAGGGTAGATTATCACCGAAATATTTTTGCACTATTTTGTTACATTTTGGCACGTTGTGATATTTATATAACAACCTAAATACAGGGTCATGTAGAGTACTGATTAATCGATGCCAGAAGGTAGGTCTTCTACCACTTTGTAATATGAAATTTGGGGATAGTACAGGGTGTATGGGGTTTCCTAAAGCATCGTGAGTGTTGAGAAAACCAGGTAGAGATGAGTAAGCTTAAAATTTAATACTTTATATTAGAGTATACATTAGGGTGGAGTGAATTTTATTAAATTTATTAATTGATTTTTCCTATATTATTAATTGTTGACTAAAGGCGTAAAATGAATAAATATTGAAAAAATATTCCAATTTTTTAATATCTTGAGGTGGCGCATCAGTCTCGAAGTTTTGAAAATTCTAAAAAAATATTACTTTAATCAAAGTAATAAAAATAGCATTATTTATAAATAAAAAATTTATTTTAGTAAAATTAACGTGAAACGTAAACATATTTAATAGTAAATCATATGCTTTAAGTAACTTCAAGAGTGTTTATTGGTAAAAATGAGATCTTCTTTTTCGCGAAAATACTGACATTTGGTATAAAAATTTGGTAATTATTTTCTGACTTTAATTCTTGTTCTGATGAAACCATCTCTTGCTTCCGATCCACAAACCGAGTCTGAAGATTCAGTATACTGGTTATAACCAGTTTTACACAGCGTTCCACTGCTTGGGTGTGACACTGAAATTTTTGGAAGTATAGGAAATGGTCACCCGAAGAAATCATATCGGTAATTTCTGTCATCGTATTTCATAGTCATAGGTGGTTCAGTCACCTTTTCTGTCGCCCAGTGAATTAACTTGTACAAACGTAATGCTTCAGTATTTAGTTGTGGAAGCTTTAATTCCCGTAATCTCGAACATTTTGATTCTTTCTTGCCTTTAATATTTTCGGCAATGCTAGTTCTCTGATCGATAGATATATTGTAGGTAACATAGCTAGTAATAGGTTTTCGGGATAAATATTAGCTATAGCTTACAAAGATCCAGGCAAGCTAGCACATTCCCTATGGCTGACGTGGGCTAATAGGATTATTCGTTTATATGGGGGGACAGCAAATCCATCGGGAAACCTAAATAAAAGAATTGGCTACTTTTATCATGAATGTGTATGCCCCAACGTGGTTTTACATCAACACCAAGCCTACGTGCAAACATGGTCCTATTCACATATTTAATATGACTAAAAGAGCATTACACCTCCAGAAAAACTTGAAGGCCTTATAACTATAGTTATAAAGAATATTCAGCGAAATATTTATCCCGAAAACCTATTACTTGCTATGTTACCTACAATATATCTATCGATCAGAGAACTAGCATTGCCGAAAATATTAAAGGCGAGAAAAGAATCAAAATGTTCGAGATTACGGGAATTAAAGCTTTCACAACTAAATACTGAAGCATTACGTTTGTACAAGTTAATTCACTGGGCGACAGAAAAGGTGACTGAACCACCTATGACTATGAAATACGATGACAGAAATTACCGATATGATTTCTTCGGGTGACCATTTCCTATACTTCCAAAAATTTCAGTGTCACACCCAAGCAGTGGAACGCTGTGTAAAACTGGTTATAACCAGTATACTGAATCTTCAGACTCGGTTTGTGGATCGGAAGCAAGAGATGGTTTCATCAGAACAAGAATTAAAGTCAGAAAATAATTACCAAATTTTTATACCAAATGTCAGTATTTTCGCGAAAAAGAAGATCTCATTTCTACCAATAAACACTCCTGAAGATACTTAAAGCATATGATTTGCTATTAAATATGTTTACGTTTCACGTTAATTTTACTAAAATAAACTTTTTATTTATAAATGATGCTATTTGTATTACTTTGATTAAAGTAATATTTTTTTAGAAATTTCAAAACTTCGAGACAGATGCGCCACCTCAAGATATTATAAAATTGGAAAATTTTTTCGATATTTATTCATTTTACGCCTTTAGTCAACAATTAATAATATAGGAAAAATCAATTAATAAATTTAAAAAAATTCACTCCACCCTAGTATACATAGAAAAAAATAAAACAACTTACTTATTATAGGTGCCTCATTGACCAAACCTATGGAATATGTCAATGGGGTTATATTCTCAATGATGATGACATCAAATTTTTGGCTAAAAATTGTTCTCACATTTTCCATCTTGATAACACTTTCAGATAACGTATCCATAATATGGAAGCAAGCCCATATTAAATCAACAAAATGGTCCATCTTTAAAGATCTTAACAGATCTGCGTATACTTCTACTGTGAAGGATGTATCAACTTCGTGCATTAGTGTGTTATTTTTTGGAAACGGTGTTATATATGTGATGTTATGTCCTTTTTCAGCCAATTTGTTTAATATATTGTATATGGCATTGTGATGGCTTGGTGATGGCACAACAGAGTACCCAAAAATATTTGCACTCACTGCTAAACTTACCAGGGAGCAAAATATAAGTAACTTCATGTTCATTATTTTTTTTAAATAAACAATTATTTGCGTTTATTACATATGTATATATAAGTATTTTATACGAAGTGGAAATGTTTAAATTAATTTTAATACTTTTACATATTCAAGTTAACAGGATTTTTACATTTTATCGTTCCAAAAACGGTTTTAATTAACCCAAAAACATAATAAACATGAATAATAAAAAATATTATAAAAATAATAAGATCGTTGTACCTTAAATAAGTACTTTTTTCATACTAAGTGACCGTTTAAATACACATGAAGTCATCAACAGGTTTTTAGTCACAGTCTGAAGTTAGTTTTAAATTAGTTGAAAGTTGTCAAATATCGTTCAATCGTTAAAATAAAATTCATCTCTAGTAAAATAATACTAAATGTAAAAATTATTTTATTTTCTCAATACAAAAGGATTAAATAGTTTCCCAACGCCAATATTTGAAAAGTTTATATGAACATTGTTCTGACCTTTTAATTACTCTGGTAGTAAACTAGATTTAAATTAATTTCGGGTGGAGTGCCCATAAAACATTTTCATCACTTCAAAAAACTGTTGTTAGTCCATTTTCAAGGGGTACATTTCGATTTACACCTCAACTCAAAACACATTTTACTTTCCTTAACTTCCAAATGGTACCAACCATTTTCACCTTTGTAGCACTACTATAACCTAACTTTTCTTTCAAGACCCTCATTTTTATACATCTTGAGTTTTGTTCTTAATTCCCCAATATTGGAATAGACACTATTAGAACTGCATAGTATATTGCTTCTTCCACCTTGTATGATTAACCATTTTCCTGTAAAAGAAAGTTTTTACCAAATATTATATTTTTTGGCATTTGTGTTTCCATGTTTGATTTCCATTTTATATCGTATGGTAGAAATGGTAGAAATAGTAGAAATAGTAGATAATTTTGGTATGTTTAGTTTGTTCACCATATTAGTGCCCAAACTTACATATAACTCCTCTATATTAGACTGGGCCAAAAAAATCAACTATTTTTTTTTTAAAGTATATCGAAAATATGGTTTGGGGTGACAAAAAAAATTATTGTGAAAGTTTGAGTCCATAATATTAATATTAAGAGGTCTATCATCGCAATTTTATTTTTTTTTTCCTCAGCAAGTTTTAGGCTCAGAACTCCCAAACCATTGAGTTAAACAAAATTGACTTGAATATATTTTTTTAAGAAAATTAAATGCTTTACAAAAAAGGTTAAAGTGAAATTTTCCGTCAGATGAACCGTTTCCTTAAAATCATGCCTTAAAAATTGGTATAGTTTTACATTTTGATCTTTTAAATTGGAATTTTGTAATTCATGTAAAAATCAGTACCCATAAAAAACCGATAAATATTCTTATGGGAAATCAAATGCTTTACAATAAAAGCATTAATAATAATAAACATTTTTGGCTAAATTCACTCAATCAAAAGTTATTCAAGGTTAAAATTTCGTGTTGACTTCAAATTTAACCTTGAATAACTTTTGATGGAGTGAATTTGGCCAAAAATAATAAAAGACTTTTTTGTAGAGCATTTGATTTCCCATAAGAATATTTTTTTTCAGGGTACTGATTTTTACTTGAATTACAAAATTCCAACGTTAAAAGATCAAATTGTAAAACTATACCAATTTTTGAGGCAGAAAAGGGTTCATCTGACGGGAAATTCCAATCAAACCTTTTTTGTAGAGCATTCAATTTTCTTCAAAAATTATTCTTAAGTAAATTTTGTTAAACAATGATTTGGGAGTTCTGAGACAAAAACTCGCTCAGGAAAAAAAAATCTAAAATTGCAATGATATACCTCTTAATATTAATATTATGGACTCAAACTTTCACCATAATTTTTTTTGTCACCCCAAACAATATTTTCGATATACTATCCAAAAAAAAAAATAGTCGATTTTTTTGGCCCAGTCTATATAACTCCACTTATTCATAAAATCTTTAATATCTTTTGGTAAAGGTTTTGCGGGTTTGATATGAATCAAATTAATATTCACAGCATTGGTCAAATTTTGTCTTATCTCATTTAAAACCAATAAATTTCTTTCAATTTCATCCAACGATGTGGCACCGTCACCAAAATATTCTCGAGCTATTTTATTGCATTTTTTAATAACTTGTATCAAAGATTCCTTGGCAACTGTTTAAATCTTAACTTTTTCTTCGATGTCTTTTAGTACACTATTTGAATTTTGTTTTTGGTTTAAGAAAAACAAACAGTTTTAAATTTGGATGTCCTAAAAGTAAAACATAATATAAAGTGTACAAAACATCTACTGGATCACTAAAAATATCTTGCTGTAGAACCATGATATTCTTTGTCACATTCTCAATGGAGTTCCATATTATAGGGTAATTCTGATAAAGCCTCTCTAAGTAAAGCCATTTTGTGTTTTTTCATAATATATATTAGTTCATTGGACCCCATTTATAGATTTATCTATAAAGTCTTGAACTCTCTCAAAAACATCATCAAAACTATGGTTGAATATTAGAAATTATTGCATAGTTAGGTAAGGGTTTTTTCGCCCAGCACATATAAAAATGAATCATATCAAACCTAAAAATATGACCGAAAATATTATTTATTGTCTCTAGGGTCGCTAAACTCATATCGTCCCTAGTTTTTCACATTCTAGATACCTTTGACTGACATTTATGTATTTTGGCATTTAACATTTTGACATTTGAGATTTTCAGACGTTTGTGTAAATCAAAATAAAAACGGACAACAAAAGTATAAAATAAGAATAAAACCTAATTTAAATTTTGTAATAAAGTGAAAATTAATGGTAACTCGGACAGTGACGAAAAATTTACGAATACTTGACCAGATTTGAAAAAGAGGAAGCTAGCTAGCTGTTAAGACAATGCGTTGCAACGGTACGAAAAGTGCTATGAATTATAATTATTTAAAAACTGGAAAAAGGATCAAAAACCCAAAAACTTAACAGAAAATGTATTAGTTGCTTATCTATCGGAAAGATCAAAGATAATTCTAATGAAACATTAACTTCATCTGTAGAAATAAGCCTTCAAATTCTGGTACTATCCACAATTGTGCTCAAGGCATAATTAACATTAATTACAACAATAAATAAATTCGTAAATTGTTACTGAAGTTTTTTATAAAATTCCGTTTATATTAATAAAATTTAAAAAAATAATTTGTTTGATGCTAGGCGAAAAACAGGTGTGTGTCACACATTCAGAAAACGCATTAGCAGCCCTTAGCTATCAACTGCCCTCGCTTCGCTTCGCTCGCTCAGGCAGTTAATAGTTGCGAGCTGCTAAAGCTAGTTTTCTGCCCTTGAGACACAATATACTATTTAGGTTCTATATGTGCAGGGCTTATTTAATTTGTGAATCACCAAATTGGTATTAAAAAATACCAAAATAATATTTATTTGTATCCCTTTAGAGATTGTATATTATCTCCAAAATATTTCCTAGCTATCCCATCACATTTTGGAACTTTATATAAGTAATAGAACAGTCTATAAAAAACATTAAACATAGTAGTAGTTAATCTCTTCCAAGAACAAGGTTTATTTCCTATTTGGTGATAAAACTGCATGACTTGGATTTCCTAGAGCATCATGAGCTAATAAAGTTTCAGATAGAGTTGATACCTATACTGCCGTGCTTAATGAAAACGCCGTAACCAACAATTTTGCGATTTTTGGTTTACGGCATTTTCTACTAGAACAATTCATCCTGCGTCTATCCCCGGTACTCAAAAAACCGTATCTATATTATATATATAGACTATATATATATACGGTTTTTTGAGTACCGGGGATAGACGCAGGATGAATTGTTCTAGTAGAAAATGCCGTAAACCAAAAATCGCAAAATTGTTGGTTACGGCGTTTTCATTAAGCACGGCAGTATACGAACTATGGGAGCCTTCTTAAAAAGCCCTGCACTTAACAGCATCAAATTCGAATTTACCACCAACACTAAATCAAATTTTGCAATAGAGTGACATTATGACCACGTAGTGATAATTTTTTGAAAATATGGTAAATACATCTATTGGAGCTTAGTAGGGGAAATAAGTGTACAGTACACCCAGTATATTAGCAGGTAATACAGAATTAACAGAAACAATAAGTACTATGAAAAACATTTTAATAATGAATAAAATAAAAAAGTAATGTAGTGACAACATTATTGGATTATAAATAATAAAATAATTTATTCTAACTTTAACTTAAATGCCATTCTTCCTACTTTAACAAATAAGTTAATTATAAAATAAATAACAAATATTAATACTCCTAATGTAAACAACATAAAAGCTATAATATCTAAAAAGTAATATTGATACAAGTAGTAGTTAGGAGCTGTACTTCTTATATGTGTCGCCCCCTTCCGTCGTATTATAAACTCTATCCACCATATAATCTTTGGTAAACCTGCTGGTTCTTCTCTGAGAAGAAAGCCCACCTTTTGGACATTTTTTTTAAACCTAAAAAAGTATTTCATTCAAAATCTTGAATGATATCTAATATTCTTACTTTTTGCATTCTGCTACCTCCACAACAGTGTTCTTTAACATTTGTTCAGTTATGTTCTTTGCATCTATAACTTTTCCTATTTGTTTTCGTTCTATAACATTTACGTAGGGTTTTTGATCGAAATACAATGGTATACCAATTAATGGTACGTCATTGATAACTGATTGTTCGATTGATAGTATATCACCATCGGTAATAAAAAGTTTAACGTTTTTATGAGCTAAAATGTCAGCTTGCGGAAGATCTGGACGTACCATAAATTTGAAGGAATTCATATTTTTTCTGCTGTTGTAATTCCACAGAACATGGTAAGGTAGGTGGGATAGTGATTCGCATAGTAATTTTACAATTCTCTTCTCTATTTTGCTGTCTTTAAAATCCAAGTTTATATAGATGATACCATGAGTGGATGTATCCAAAAATTCTTTAATAGCTGAATCCTGAATTTTAACATTAGATTATGTTTTCAAAATATGTGAAACAAACCTTCAATGTGGATGTTTTAATGTTTGCTAAACTAATTTCAACTACATTGGCAACATTCGGTCTTATTAAACCCAAAATGGGGTTAGAATAGAAAATCTGCAGACTAACATTCTTTTCAGTTTGGCCTAGGTAAGGACCGCTAGCCCCAAAATAGTCTTTAATAATTTTGTCACACTTAGGAAGCTCATACAAATTATAATAGAGCCTATACCAAATATTGTATAGACCACTATTAAGTCTATCTTGATAAGATAATTCCCCTTCCATGTTAAGAATGGATGATGGGGTAGTCACAGGGTGTGTAGGGTTACTAACGGAATCATGGGCATGTAGTGGACCACTGGATGCAGAAAAACCTTAAAATTTGTGTAGTATTAATTTTATTTTTTAACTACATATATTTACCAATCGTTGTAGCTCCAGATAAAACACTTGGAATAAAAGTCAATGGTGTGACATGCTCAGCAATAACTACATCGAATTTTTGTTGTAGAACAGTTTTTACCTCATCACGTTTTAATAGTAATTTAAAGGTATCTCTATAAAACTCGAACATATTCATGGTATTCGTGAAAGTATAACTACCTTCATTTATAATATTTGTAAAGTTTACACCAACCTCCAAAACAAAACTAATGTCTTCCACATGTAAATTTTTTATTTCCGATTGGTCCCTTAATGTCGGCGATATCAAAGTGACATGATGGCCCCTTAAGGCTAACTCTTCAAATATAGGGTAATAATAGTCGGGTTTTACATTTGGCGACACAAAAAATCCCAATATTTTTGCACCATCGATAACATGTATTAAACTTGCTATTAAGAAAGTTGTCAGTTGCATTTTTGCCAACGAAGTCCAAGGCAGTGTTAAATTGTTTACCAAGTTTACTTTAGATAAGAAAATTTAAATACTCAATTGATAAAAAATACCTTTTTTAAATAATTTTGTGATACAAAAATAAATAATACCGTCCGGTTATAAAGCTAAGGTTGGCACCTACAAGTGTGATTTTAATTTTTATTATAAAATATCAAATTTATATATAAATATTTTTTCTTACCTTTAAAACGCCCATTATCGTACATGTTTCCATGACAGTTGTCAAATGTCATACAATCGTTAAAATAAAGTGCCCTTCTTTTAAAATAATACTAAATGTAAACATTATTTTATTATCTAAATATAAAAATCAAAAGTATTAAATAGTTTCTTAACGCCAATATTTGAAAAGTTAAACTAGATTTAACTGATTTTATATATAAACTCCTGGACAAAATTAACGCAACATCAAAAAATTTGCCACATTTTTTATGATATTTTTTTGTTGAATTTATGATCCGATTTGAATGATTTTTTTTGCATTGTAGGTTGGTTCCTTGATAATGTCATAATTTTCGCTGTTTATGATAAAAAGTTCATTTTTGATTTATACCGGGTGTAATATTATTTTCCGAAAATTCGGATTAACTTACTCCATTTTCAAGGGATAAATTTCGATTCACACGTACAAATTTTACATTGTCTGTAATACAGATTTCCACACAGAGCACAAGTTAGAATGATAACTTTTTAAACAAATTTTAGAAATATTCCCCAACACCAAAACAAAACTCAAAGTGCTTATTTTGATGTTGGAGAATATTTCTAATATTTGTTAAACATATCAACAAAGGTCTTTTTTCAAGCGTCAAATTTAGTTTATTGTAATATAATATAATATAATATAATAAAATATAATATAATATAATATAATATAATATAATATAATATAATATAATATAATATAATATAATATAATATAATATAATATAATATAATATAATATAATATAATATAATATAATATAATATAATATAATATAATATAATATAATATAATATAATATAATATAATATAATATAATATAATATAATATAATATAATATAATATAATATAATATAATATAATATAATATAATATAATATAATATAATATAATATAATATAATATAATATAATATAATATAATATAATATAATATAATATAATATAATATAATATAATATAATATAATATAATATAATATAATATAATATAATATAATATAATATAATATAATATAATATAATATAATATAATATAATATAATATAATATAATATATTATAATATAATATATTATAATATAGGTTGTAGACAGCATTGTCTGCGACACTTTCTTTTATAAATAACATTTTTATTAATAGTGGTTTGGTATAATAAAATTAAAATTAATGCGAATCAATTTTTTATTTGATCATAAAATAGATTAAGTATGCTTTTTAATATAAACTAAATGATGTTTTATATTAATGGTCACGAAGGGCTGTTTTATTTATAATAAATTACCATTATTTTACAAGATTACTTTGTATTTTGTTTTCGTAAAATAATAAATATTAAAAAAATTTTAAATGTTTATTTATTGTAGACTTTAAAAAGGAATAAATTTGAATAACTTTAAATTTCAAATATATAACAAATAAATTTAAAATTATCTTGTATTTAATAATTCAAATAAGCTTATTTTTATCATATTGAATATTTCCAATAAACATTTTAAATAAATTAAAAATAAGGTTTCTATAAATACCCTACTATCAAAAAAAGATAATAATTGTTATAGGGTCTTTCCATCTCAAATAGACAAGCAAAAAGAAATTTTTGAAAAGGCACTCTAAATATAAACATCAAATTTAAATATAAAATGATTTGACCTCTCAAAAATTTACAAATGACACGTATGTATTTTGAATCGAATATGTAAAAATTCGTAGGGTTTTTTTATTAAAAAATAAAATGTTAAGAGCATTTGCGGTGAAAATATGTCAAAAATTTCTAAATTACACTTTATAAAGGTTACCCGAGTTTTATGACCCTAGATAAAATACCACAAATTTAGCAATGTCAAAATTTTTACCTTGATTTTTTTGTCTTTTTTAGAAAAAAATAGTTAAAAAAAGTTGTGTGAAGTCACCTAATTTTTTATATTTTTTTGTATGTAGGGTAAAGTAGACAGTTATCGGACACTTTATAGTTATTGGACAATTAACATTAATACTGCAAAAACAACATTTCTATAAATAGTTACCTTAAAGTCAAATCATTAGATGACGCTGTATACAATTATAAATATCTGAGTCGGTTATGATATAGAACTACTTTATTTTGGGTCCAATATAGGACAAAAAAGTTCGCACGTTACTTGGTTGGTAAGATTTTTGTTTTTTTGTTAAGAGCAGGGCTGTGTTTAAATTACAATAAAAAATATTTCTAAAAAGTGTACAGATCAGTGTGTGGTATAAATGTGTTCCTCATGGTTTAAACATTGTCACTTTAATGCGTTTTAATTTTAATTCTGAAAACAAACAGTAAAATGGCCAGTGTCCAATTACTGATTGTTGAAAAATGTAAATTTCTATTATTGGACATGTGCCAATATAATACTTTATTTGTATCCCAGACATTTACCAGCCAATTCTTACGTAAAATTGTCCCCTGAATCCGAAAAGACCGTAAAAACCATACAAGTTTTTGAGATAAAGTCATCTCCATATATGTAAAATTGATAATATTTCAAAAACTGTTCTCTTTTTATAGCTTGACGACATTTTTGGATTCAGCGAATAATATTTCGTAGGAATTGACTGCTAAATGTCCTGGATACAAATTGTTGCTTTTTCGCTGTGACATTTTTGACTAATTCATTTTTAGAGAGTGATAGTGATTTCTTCGTCACAGGACATCTTGCTGAATAACAGTGATTTAAATACAGTGCATGATAGAGAACATAAAAAACTAATGGCAACAAAATTAATAAATTCGGAAAATACTTCTAACATACCACCCGAAAAAATATTAGATATATATATAAATCATCCTGTTCCTGCCTAAACATTATAAATGCTTCACAAACTAGAGATACCACACTTCCTTGCAACAAACTATTTCAGAAGTCAGACCAAGGAACTAGTAGTTACCTTCAGAATCCAGAAAAAGGATGAGGAATCCGAGAAAGAAATATATAAATAATATGATATTTACAAAAACGAAATAAAGAAACTATCTAATGTTATTTATAAAAAATTGTAACGATCGAAACATTTTTGGCAAAGTTATCGCATTTTCAAGAAAAAAATCGATGTTCTGCCACTTTCAAAAATTTTCTACTGATGAACAAAACAAATTACAGCAAAAAGAAAAAATCAAAGATTTCGGTAGAGAATCTGTAAAAAAAAAAATTGTTAAAAAATAACGAACTACCCCTTTTTTGCGGTCGATTTGAGATGGAAAGGCCCTATAGTTTAGTTATTTCTTTGGTTAAGACATTGATAAAAAGAGATCGTTTTACAACTTTTCCGTGTAGAATTTGATAAACGACGCGTCAGTCGGCAGCAAAGGAACAAATTAAACTTACTTTAATTGCTTTGCATAATAATTGAAAAGGTCTCATTTGTTAAAGTTAATGAGAAAATACATAAGCAGCCAGAAGACAAATCATGTAATTGGCCTGCTCGAGTGCCGGCCATTGTTTCGCCGCAGCGGCGGTCAAAAGAAACGGAGGGAAATAGAAAAGGGTTTCCACGGTCCCCCTTCCAACTTGTCGTCGGATAAGATCTAAGAAGTTCGTTAAGGGTGATTCACATTGAAATAAAATAAATATTATAATAAAAACAGTAAATATCAAAATCACATTTTTTTAATACGAAATAAATGAGTGAATCTCACGAAATGTCCCCCGATGGTGTTACCCCGTGATATTTTATAAAACTAAATGAGTTTAACCTACACTGGCTATGTGTCTGGGTTCAACTATTTTATGTGCAAAAACTGCTAGAATAATAAACTGTGATATATTAATTAAAGATTCTGTGATAATACTATGTGATAGACTATGCTAAAAACTTAGGTGTAATAATGGACTGCAATTTGAACTTTGAGAGGCATGTTACCAAACTCTGTTCTGGTATTTTTGTGAAATTTAAATCAATGTATAAGTTTAAAAAGGTATTAAGTAGTGATGTAAAATGGAATTTATGTCAGGCTGTTATTTTGAGTAATTTTAATTATTGTGGTGCTGTCTACTATAACTATTCAAATAAAAAAATTCAAAATTTACTTCAAAAAGTACAAAACTGCTGCTTAAGATATTCTTATAATGTTAGCTTCAGAGAAAATTTACTTCAAAAAGTACAAAACTGCTGCTTAAGATATTCTTATAATGTTAGCTTCAGAGACCATATGTAGGTCCACACTATATTAGGTTAAATATTTTGAAATGTGTATATGTCTTTTACAAGCAATTTGCGACTATGTTGTTCAATATTATTAAACCTAAATTACCCTTATATTTATTTTCACTCTTGGAATATAATAGTCATGATGTAAATGTTAGAAGTAATTGTTTGTTGTCAATTCCATACCATAAAACAAAAAAATTTGAGAGTTCCTTCGAATATTTGGCTGCCAGCATTGTGAATAAAAATTTTATTTTGTGGAGTAGTGATATATCCCTTGGGACTTTTAAAATTAATATCTTAAAAATTTTATTAGAGATCCAAGCCAAAGAAATTTTGTAATCTTGTAATTTTAATATGTCGTTGATATTTATTAGTTTATATTTACTTATTGTTTATTTACAATTTAAAATTATATTTGTTTGCTGGGTGAGTGGAAGATCAGTGAAGCTGAACTCATGCCTTTTGTGATACATGTATTGTACTGTTTTTCACAATAAAGTTATTATTATTATTAATATTATTATTATTATTTTATTGTTTTTTGATCTTTCATAATTAAGTAGATATTATAGCTCGGGTTACGGATTTTTAACCGCAATTAAT